GTGGTGCAGGGTTATGGCTGCAGTGCTGGGAAGTGCTTCATTGAAGGGTGCTGAGATCCTCATCCCAGAGGCCAAGCCCACCCAGGGAGATTAGTAATACTGACTGACACTAATGGTTCCTCACAACCATTCTGTTGGGTGGATCCGCATTATCATCTCCATTTGACAGATGGGAAATGGAGGCCCAGAGTGGGGAAGTGATGTACCCCAGATCACAGGGAAAGGACTTAGGCAGAGGCAGATCTGGACATAAGGTGAACAGACAGCAAGTGTGAAAAATCTGGACAGAGATAGCGGGTAATTGGCACCCATATAAGACAGAACCCTGGATATCAGGACTGTCCCTATAAAACTGGGACATCTGGTCTCCCTAACTAGACTTCAGGAGTTCCTGGTTCCCAGCTCCAGGCTCTGTGCATTAGATCCTTTTGACTCCCTGCGTGCCTGTATGTGCTGAGTTTCCACCAACCCTGTAAGCCTCCATGGGCATCACTGACACACTGCCTGCTGAAGACCTTCAACTTGGAACCTGCAGTAATTGTGTGCTTGTGCTCTTCGTTTTCTTTAGGTGCTTCTACAATTCAGATGGTGACTTCCTGATTGGTGAGTTCCAGATGTGATTTCTATTCTCCTCCTCATCTTTGTTAGCCTCTGTTGCCATCAACCCTACTCTGTTTCTCCCAACATCTGGTTCATTCTTCCTGCTGGAAAGGTTTGGACTGATGGTCGGTGATTAACATCACTCTTGGACTATCCAAAATTAGGTGGTTTGGTAATGGTTAAATTGCCTATCATACTCTGCTTCTCTTTTTCAGTCCAGGATTGTAAGCAGAGTTCCCACTAATATTTTTCCATCCAAGTGCAGAATCAATTTTGTTATGTGTATTGTGGCATATACAGATATGCACCACCAGTAGAAACACATGCTGCCGGCTGTGGGTGCTCTGCTAATCAGCTGGGCGGCATTTGAATCTCTCCTGGGTAGCCACCCAAGCACACAGCTTACAGGGAACACTAAGTGTAAGTCTTGTTTTTAACAGGAACCAGATTCCTTGGCTAGCTAAGTCAGTGCCTGGTTCCTTAGGCTATGGATCTGCAGTGCTATTGCGGGAATCCTATTCTTAGGCATGTCATAAAAACCCTTGAGGTTTTCAGGAAGCTGTGAACTCTGTGGTTTATAGACAGCTCACAGGTTTGCTTCAGTCCAAGACTTGTCAGAGTGATCGGTGCTCCTGAATTCCTCCAGGCTGGGGCGAACAAATTCTCAACAATAAGTGTTGCATTGGCATTTGAAATGCATGCATTTTAGAGTTCTTTATTTCACCAAAAAAAACTTTCTTAATTGATTAATCAAAATTACCTGGTGACTGAACTCACCAGCAAACCCCCCCAAAATACCCAACTGCAGTTGCTGAACTCTCTCCTCACCCTGAGATGAAAGGGAAACTTCACCCCTGGGACACATTATATAACTCCACAGTTAGAGTGTGGGCCCTCCTGGAACAGTCCAGTCTAAAGGTTAACTACCCCTACACTGGTTAACCTCTGTTGTTTATGAAAGAAATGAAAGGGCAGTCCCATATGGAACGTAGGATCCTGGAGCTCTTGTAGACACTGTTTGTATCTATGGTGAAGGGGAGAGGCTTCTCACATGAGAGAAGGTGTTGAGTAATCCCCAAAACACTGCCTGAGGTACAGTGCAATAGCAACCTCTGCCCCCTTTCACTGTATACTCAGAGTTCTGACATTTGCACTCACTGCCACTCAATCATTAACTTATTCTCCTAGAGGAGTGGGCACAAGGGAAAAGCTGGCTGGCTAGCTCTGGAGATTGGCATATGGAGCCTTTCACGTCTAGGTCTCTAGTTTAAATCCATCCTCAGCTGCTAAGCCCAGATCTCCATTGGTGGTTGGGCACCTTGCTTCTATTGGTGTCAGTGGGACTTAGGTACTTCACTGTTTTTGACTGAACACTGCTCCCATCTAATGACTGGTCACTGGCCACTAGGGCTGTGTCCAGACTCAGGGTTTTTTTCGGGAAAAGTAGCCTTTTTCCGAAAAAACTTCCCCTGCGTCCAGACTCAAGCCACATTCTTTCGAAATTAAATCAAAAGAATGCGGCTTTTCTTTTGATGGCGGTAAACCTCATTTCACGAGGAAGAACGCCTTCTTTCGAAAGTTCCTCTTTCGAAAGAAGGCGTTCTTCAATGTAAATAGGGCTTCTTCGAAAGAGAGCATCCAGACTCACTGGATGCTTTCTTTCGAAAAAGCAAGCTGCTTTTTCGAAAGTTCAACGTGCAGTCTAGACGCTCTCTTTCGAAAGAGGCTCTTTTGAAAGTATCTTTCTAAAGAGCCTCTTTCGAAAGAGGCTTGCAGTCTAGACATAGCCTAGATGAAATGAATCTGTGAAACTCAGGCTACTACTTAGTGGATATATCTTACTATATATTTTAGAAATGTGTGTCTGTCTGTCAGTCTGTGAGTCCATTTGTTCAAGAACTCTTCCTTAATGATAAGACCACCAACTTTGGTAGGCAGCTCCCTCTTATCATAATTTAAAGTAAGGTCAGGGTTTGGTTGTGTCGGGATAATGGCATATACCTGGAATTTGATTGTTTTCTCATACAATGGAAAGGGAGGGTCTGGCAGGAGAAAGTTATACAGCAGAATGACCACAGGGGACAGCAAGGAGCCAGAGATGGGGACCCAGATAGCTGTAACCCCATTGGGCCAGCAGGGAGCAAGGAGGAGAAAGGGACAGCTATCTACTATATATTTCAGAGAGTTTGTTTGTGTGTCTGTTTGTCTGTCTCCCGTCAGGGGACATGCACCCCTCCCCCAGCTGTGCCCACCGCAGCTGCAGTGGTCATTCAGAGATGCTTCTTACCATGTCCTCTCTCCCTGGGGCAGCCTGCATACTGACCCTCTCATCCCCAGCCCCATTCCAGAACCATAATTTAAATGAAGAAAAACAAAACTTATTTGAATTAAAGACCCAACCAACGCCGGGTAAATCTTCCAGTAAAACATAAATTACAGTTGTCAGTAACTGGGCTTCTTATTGTCAGTTTCACCTGAGACCAAGTGCTGAATGGCTCAAGAAGGCTGAATTTGTATCTTACCCCTCAAGGTGATCCTACCAGTGAAGCAGCAGTGAGAAGCACTGTTGCACTGCTGCGGCCTGCTCTGTGAATGCAGAGCATTTGGTCTGGCATCATGCACAAGCAATTGCTTCCGTGAACAACAAAAAAACACGTTTCTGTACTTTTCTCTGCCTGGGACATTTGCCTGCCTGTCACACTGATCTGCTTCTGTTTGCTGCTTACAGACAACATTTCTTCATAGGCCAGTGCGCACATGTGATGAAGTTGATGGTGGAGTCAAGAGGGACAGAGAGCACCTACAGCTAAGAGTAGCAGGGGTCTTTCTAGGAGGCTGGTAGTGGACAGTGGAGAATGAAAATATAAATTGAAGCTTCTAAGCTGTGACTTTTGGTGACAGGAAAGCCCTCCAGTTCCTCAGTGAGTGTTGCTTATGTTTCCTCCCCACAGTACCGCAGCAAGGCAAGCTGCTGATCACCACTGAGTTTGGCAAATTGCTGGTGGAGCCCAATGAGATCTGTGTCATTCAGGTGAGGACTAGGCAGGTTTCTGCCTCCTGCTGGCTTGTTTCTGAAGGGAAGCTGATATTGAAGTATGCTGCTGATGTTGAAACAGTGAGTTTTACTCGGCCTCAGTCAAACTCCAGAGAGCTGGACTAACCCAGAGGCTGCATTAGGAACTTGCCACAAATCCTAAGGCTGATCTAGTTTGTGCACAGTACACCAATCACAGCCACCCTGATCTTTAATAGAGAAGCACACAGTGTGGCACAACTTCTTGGGTCATGTCTGAGCACTACGTGCTGGCCTATGCATGCTCAGCAAGCCAGGCCACCATATTAAATTTGAAGGCAGCTTTTGTACCACCTTGTTGAAGTCCGTGGGTTGCATTTGGCCCATGAGCTGCAGGTTGGTCACCTCTTCATATCTACCTTTTGTATTTTCTCTCCTAGCAAGGGATGCGTTTCAGCGTGGAGGTGTTCGGAGACACCAGAGGCTATATCCTAGAGGTGTATGGTGCACATTTCGAGCTGCCTGACCTGGGACCCATTGGTAAAGATTCACCATCAAGTTTACAGGGGATTCCGTAGGGCAAGTGTAATACAAGAGCAAGGGATTGCACAAACCAGACTCCATTCCTCCTTTCTCCCCAGACTTTCCATTCACAGGGGATATAGAAGGTCACACCCATCCTCTTCTTGTGGCAAATGACCTCTATCAATATGGGAAGGCTTAACATTTCAGAGGCCCCCTCCTAGGAAAGAATTTGAAGCCCCTGTATGAGATGCTCAATCGGAGTCCCAGGGATGCTATTCAGTTGTTCCCTGGAAATGGACACTACTGTTTCATAGAGAAACCCCCATTCCCAACAAAAAACTTGGAAGGCCATTAGTACCCTGATCCCCCAGGAGTAGAGAAAGTGATCTTTTGTGCCAAAGCCAGCTCATTCCATACAGTCTCTTGGTCTTTTAGATTCTGCTTGTTTGTTTAAGCTCCTTCACGTCTTCTATACAAACACTGAGCTGAATTCTACTCTCAGCCGCACTGGGGTGCATCAGTCACTCCAGTGAGTCAGTGGAGTTATTTTGGATTTATACTAATGTAACTGAGAGAAAAATTTAACCCCGTGACTCTAGTTAGAAATTTAGGGCTACATTGCTGAAGTTCCATGCACCAGGGAAGCTGCATTACAAGTGTGCCTGCCTGCTGTACAGCCACCATCTGGCATCTGTGTGCCAGACTGGCATTTACAACTGCAGTTTAGGTAATTAGCCAGTTGTGTATCATCACTAGGGAGGTCACCGTATAGTCAACTACATGATTACCCGATAAGCCTGTATCATGCAGTAAGGGGGGGATCCCCCACAAGCACTGGATCCCACATTGCTGCCTCTGATAGAGAGGCAGCAGAGCATAGGATGAGGGAGGGCAGGCATGAACTGGTACCCACAGGAAGCCAGCTTTCAAGCTGGCTTCCCACGCGTATTGGCTCCCATGGAACTGCCACCCCACACACACACACACACACAAACACACACTCCTGCCTCTCTATCAGATGCAGCAGCACGGCAGGAGAGCAAGGGCAGGCAGAAGCCAGTACACGTGGGGAGCTGGCTTTTAAGCCAGAACTGCCTGCCCCTCCCTTTGCTGCCTCCCACAGAGGCAATGGAGGGGGGGGGGGGCAGGCAGGAGCCCATGCTCTGCGAAGCCGCCTGCCCCCACCCTCCACGCTGCTGTCTCTATCAGAGGCAAGAGCACTGCGGGGACTGGGGAGGCTGCCACAAAGCAGTCTCTGTCTGCAGCAGACCCAGACTCACCACAGACAGAGGCTGCTCTATGGGATGCCGGCGCAGCCTCTGTATGCAGGGAGCTTGGGCCCCTTGTAGACAGGGGCTGCTTCTGCAGAGCAGCCTCTCGCTGTGGACAGAGGCTGCTCTGTGGGTTGCTGGCTCCCTGCACAGACTGGCTTCTGCCTGCCACCCAGCACTGCTGCCTCTGTATCAGAGGCAGCAGTGCTGGGTGGCAGGGGGCTACCCGGGAGCGGGGCTGGTAGTGCACTGGCTACAGGCCCTGCCCTCGGGGACTAACGAATAATCGTGTAACTGCTAAAATTTGATGTGGGTACACAATTGTTTGATTAACCGATATCTAACATCTCTAATCATCACTGTACCTTATTAGTGTGCATAAATGCTTGTTGGTGCAAGGCCAAAAGTCTACACAACCTTCTATTGTTAAAAAGGTATCTGCTTCCTCCACTTTGTATTGTGTTTTCAAAGGACAGAGGATGAAGAGGAGGTCTCTGATTTTTCTTCTCCCATCTCCTACAATGGATGGGCTAAGAACCCAGAAAGGATTCTCCAAAAGAATTTCTGAGGGAACTAGAGATCATTACTATGGTCAGGATGGGAGCCAGATCTCAAATGTAGTCTTTTCTCTTCAGATTGTGTATTCCTTCATTAACATAATACAAGAAGCTGACCCAATTAAATTTATAGGCAGCAGATTTAAAACAAACACAACAAATTATTTCTTCACAGTCAATCTGTGGAACTCTTTGCCAGGGGATGGGGGAAAGGCCCAAACTATAACAGGGTTACAACAAGAACAAAATAAGTTCAAGGAGTATAGGTTCATCAATGGCTACTAGCCACAATGGGCAGAGATGGTGTCCCTAGCTTCTGTTTGGCAGAAGCTGGAAATGGGTAATAGGGGATGGATCACGATGATTGCCTCATTTGTGGAAGACAGGATACAAGTCTGGAAGGACCTTTAGTCTAGCCTAGTATGGCCATTCTGACATTCTTATATAGAGATGAAATGTATCTGCCCCCTTGCTGTAAAGACCCCACTCTCCTTCCAGAGCTGAAAGAGAACCCAGGAGTCCTGTCCGGGTCTCTCTCTCTCCATGGGGTTAGTAACAAAGTAAGAATATTCATTAAAATGTTAAGGCTAAGCAATGTCCCCTAAGTGACTGCCACAAGATGTCAGAATATGTTAGTGTTAGAGCTGAGTGGATCTAATTATTTGTTTCATTTTCTTATTTTTTTTTATATATAGAAATTAGATAGTGCTCCTGTCAGCTAACTGCTAAGTTATCTCCCCAAAAAAGTAGAGTTTTCCATTGCCTTAATAGCCCCTGGATGGAAATTATGTTTGTGGGGGGGGGGAAGGCAGATGGGGATGGTCCCCCCTCCATTTGGTGCTTGGCTTGTACTGGGCATGCTCATTAACACTGCTGAAGCCCCAGTCTGCCCCCCATGCTCTCACTCCCCCCCTCTGCCCCCATCATGTCATGCACAGGTCGGTTCCCCCCTGCCAAAATCCGAAATGGCACTCCTGCTCCTGTGTGAAATGTGCGCCGAGAGGTCCTTTGCCTTGTTCACTGTGGCTGTGTCTACATTGGCATCCCTTTCCGGAAAAGGGATGCTAATGAGACACTTCGGAAATGCAAATCCACGGGGGATTTAAATATCCCCCGCGGCATTTGCATTTACATGGCTGCCGCTTTTTTCCGGCTCGGGGTTTTTGCCGGAGAAAAGCGCCAGTGTAGACGTGATTCTCCGGAAAATAAGCCCTTTTCCGGAAGATCCCTTATTCCTACTTTCAAGGAGTGCCTGCATGTACTGAAGTCCCGCGGTCTTGTGGAATGAGTGATTCTTTGACACCCTTAGCTGTAGCACTCCAGCCAGGATACAGCAATTTCATATTATTACAATCCGTGCCTGTTTCATATGATTATTTATACCATTATGCCTATGTATTTGTAACAAGTTTTTTCATTAGTTAGCATTTTTCAGAGGTACCTTGGAAATTTTTATGTCTCTGAGAAAGGAGAAAATCTATTATAACATCCACTTTTTGGAGAAAAGAAAATGACTGTGCTTGCCTGTAATTCTTCTTTTCAGAAGGTAGTAATTATAAGAGATCCTCTCCACACCAGTCACTGCTTCCCCCAGAGATCATGATGCTCTATATATTATTCTTGTTTAACTTCATTTTTCACTTGAAAACTGACAGCTAGAGGAAAGTACTGACTGTTAAACCTCAGCAGCAGGTAGTAATGCCTAGCACTTTCATCCAGGGAAGTCAAAGTGCTTTGTAATATAGGCAGTCCCCGGATTACGTACAAGATAGGGACTGTAGGTTTGTTCTTAAGTTGAATCTGTATGTAAGTCGGAACTGGCGTCCAGATTCAGCCGCTGCTTGAAAACTGACAGCTAGAGGAAAGTACTGACTGTTAAACCTCAGCAGCAGGTAGTAATGCCTAGCACTTTCATCCAGGGAAGTCAAAGTGCTTTGTAATATAGGCAGTCCCCGGATTACGTACAAGATAGGGACTGTAGGTTTGTTCTTAAGTTGAATCTGTATGTAAGTCGGAACTGGCGTCCAGATTCAGCCGCTGCTGAAACTGACCGCCAGTTCTGACTTACATACAGA